TGTACTGAGGTAGATACCTCTCTCTACCCGACACGGATCAGGTACAACATAACCGCAGAAAGGATGCTTATATCTATTCTAAGGTTTTCTTTCGCATAGAAGAGTTGTGCATACTGCATGTATCTGTGGATACTTGTGTGAAGTCTGTTTCTTATTCTCCTGAGGACTTCTAATGCTATATCATCTGATCAACGGACAACAAACTTTGCACGTTGTAGCGGTTCACACCCGGCTATAAGGTACTTTGTGTACTAAAAGAGTATGCAAAGTAGCGTGAGTGGAAAGGACTAAAGAAGAGAAAAACGAAAAGTGGTGAGTCACTGATGCAGCATACATATGTAGTGACTCATCATTTATCACGAGAACACGACTGGTTTAGTAGAAACAATTCTTATTATAACCAAGTGTACCAGTGACTGTTTTAATGTGCTTTTGTTTAACTGTGCTAATGACAGCTATTTTGTGCTTCCATTCTTATACTCACACTTTGATTGTAACTTCGCGCGAATTCGGTTACGTTCTGTAACCAAGCTTGTATCCTGGTACGATCTCGGTATCCTTTCGATACCACGAGATCGCCAGCAAATATATATCTCGATTTGGTCCATTAATTGCCTTCTGGTATTTGGCTTCTCGGAGATTTTATGGGTTTCTTTGATTACGTTCAACCCTCGCCTTCTGATTTCTTTGGCACGTGTTTCTCTGTAGCGGTGTTCATAGTTAATCTCAACTCGACACCACGCTACAGGTTCTTGCGCACATGTCGCACATTATCCAGTACCTTGGGTATTGTTATTTACTAGCTGTTAACAGCCATTTTGCCATCACACGTCGATTTTCGTAATGTTTATGCTTGTTACATAGCTTTTATCCCAGTTTATAAGTACTTTGACGTAGTAGTTGTTCACTATCTGGATAAATGTTAGGTCAACCTAAATGTGGTTATTTGTGTCAACCTGAACTCAGCCAGATGAAATGCTCTATTTATGGAATCAGAGAAAGACAGTCATCAGAATTTTTGGACAAAAGTGAGCTCTAAACACCTTCGATTTATCACCCTAAAGGATGTTGATGAACAAGGATATCTGGTAGTTGCTTAGTAAATGCATTTTGAGGCAATTCTTTGCCAAACTATTTTTCAATATTATATAGTTTTCTAGTATACAAACATAAAGAGTTCTAACCATTGTGCAAATCATCGTTTTTGACAGAACTGTCATATTGGTATGTAACTTATCTGAGGAAGAAAATTTTTCTACGGGCGATAATTGACGTTGAATGCCTCTTCTGCTCACTTTCTGAACACATACAGCAACTGTATATAACATTATTGTGAGCATCACATTGATTAGTCACATATTCTTCATAAGCAAAACGATTCACTTTTGTCTAGAACATGGTAACTAAACTATGTTGTTAGTTAACCTTAATTTATGGTGCCTGTTATAGAGTTAAGAAATGAATTTCTGTAGACAGATTTTGGAACCCCTGACAAAATTATAAACACAGATCGAATGCATATGTATAAGTAATATCTAAATTGTGTTATACGGTGATTTCAAATTGCATGTGAACTGTGATTTACTGTCAGCATTATGAGGGTTGTAATTGGATTTCTTTCAAATTTCATGTGAATCAGTTTGAAGATGCCACAGGTATTCGAAGTTTGACAGCGCTGTAACACTTTCTATTATGAATCGTACTCACCAAGTGAAATCAAAAGACAGAAGCAAGGAGGTTGGAAGATATATTCAGTAGGCTTTTAATATATCGAGGGTCGTCTGATCTAATCTGGCTAGCGATCGCAGTAGATTTTCAGCACGGCGTTCTCACTCGCGATCTGGTGTGAATGCATAACCGAGCGCCTTCAGCTAGGTGAGTTCATTAAAACTAGTGTGGTCAGCTTCCAATGTCGAAGACTTACATAGCTATTTATTTTGGGGATTTATTCACCGCTACAAGTTTACGCGTTGTATAAAATCGCTTTGTAAGCACTAAATGACTAGGTGAAAGTCTAAGAGGGTTATAGAATGAAAGGCATTTTTTACAACAATACACATAGCTACATTTTGTAAGTTGGTATTCCGTTCAATTATTGAATTCTATATTCGTAACGAAGCATAACCGTTTGTTTCATGGCTGATCTTTTGTTTTTTTAGAGTTGCATTGATAAGCTCATAAGCCATCCATATGTTTTTCGATATGCAACCTGTGGCTCCTGTCAGCTAATTGAAAAGCCGAAACTCTCCTAACATTCAAGCCTATAACAGTGAACAACACAACGAATTTCTGTAAATGGAAAATTATGTGGATGGACAACTTACATGTTGATGATAACTATGCTTAATATTGACAGCTTCTACGTTCATTTACGTAATAAATTATTTAAATTTAAATGTAACAAGTACACGCAATCCTTAACTTCTTTTACAAGAGCGTACTGCAGGCAAAAAATACGTAGCGTTTCAGACCCCGTGAACTCTTGGTGAATGTTCGTATTCTTATACACAACAAATCTCCCTAGTATTCACCCGAATATACTGTCGTAGTGAGGAAAATTATATATACGGCAACATTTTAGCGCAACTTCTAGACTGATGCAGTACTTACCAGCCGTCACAAAGAAACGGGTACATTTGAAGCAAACACTCAGTTATTTTTAATTGTCACAAACAGTTACCCGTTAAGATTATCGGTTTACGTCCCCACGAAACTAGAATGAAGATGGGATTTAAAATTGTGCAAGTTTGTTGGTGCATTATTACTACTGGTAAAGTAAGAACAACATTTGTTGCGGAGAAATCAGTCTACAATATATACATATAATTGACTTAATAATAGGACCCTAAAGAACTTGTGCTAAACAGTTCTTGTCATGCCTCCACACTTTTTATATTTCGATCCGTTTTTATCGCAAATCAGACGACACAAAAATAAGCACTGGAGAAACCGGAGTCACACCAGGTTACTGTTGTTTGCAAGTTTTCTGAATTCGCTGAATATGAGTATACTGTTTGCTTTGCCTGAGGAATAAACTGTTGTGTTATTCTAAGAAGTATGCGTGTTAGCTATCTTTCATTGACTGCAGAGTTTAAGAATATGACAAATTAAGTGCTTTACACTCTGTAATTGATCGAGCCTACTTATAAGTGTTTGTCTTATATATTCAAGAAGCATATGACGGCAAGGATATCATAATATCACAAACGTTCTACAGTGGCATTCGCAAATGCTTGTGTTTACCTCATAAGTTCTAACGATTTTGGATTCATTATTAAACCGTGTGGTCTACGCTTATGACCAGCTGTGCACTGAAACACCACAAACATATTTGAATCTAACAAAGTAGTGATTTACACAAAGCGCAAGTATATGGGACTTTTAAGTTGTTCTTATTCCTAATACATCGTTTTCTGGACCTTATTAAGTCTTAAACAAAGGCGGCGCAATTGGCATTCGAGATAAAGTTGCGATGCAACAATCGAGTCACCATGTACACTACAAAACAGAGAAAGTTTAGATCATGTTTCTTACTATGATTTTGTGATTTTTCTGCAGCAACAGATTACTTAAATATGAGGATACCTAAACTGCATGCAGGCCAGGAATTGAAATACGAAATAACGGTTTCAAATCAGGCCTTTCAAGGTCGTTGACTGAACCAAACATTTTTTGCCATCTCTTAAAACTTCAATAATGTTTCGTGTTATTAGAAGAACAAGTGGAGAAAAGAGTTCAATGTTTAACGCGAAAATGTCGGTGATCATCTTCCAAACATCTGAATCTCAATGGGCTGCAAGTTTATCGTTTCTCCCATATACTGATAGGTCGTCACCTTTGACATAAATAACCTGAACATAATATTAGAAGAATATGGGACGTTTATATAGAACGATATGTTGCTAAGTACGTTGATGTTCTTCGGGCACTGTTACACACTCCTTACTATTTCTGCTTTATAATCGCTTACCTTACTCTCTGTTACCGTTTTAAAACTATTTTTGTACCCTACAAAATCCTTGTTTAATGCTAAACATAAAGGAGTGAATAAATATTAGGTGTTTCAAAAGAAGCTAATGCCAGGGATTGCAGTGTCGTTGGCTAACACTGACCTAACCCAAAATTGGAATGCAAATTTAATATCTTCTGTATCCTATAGAACCCTAATAACTAGATTCATGCAGTCTTCAGTCTTCAGTGATAAGGACAGTAAGTTGGTGAACCTGTGCTAATCCTAACAGACTGCCTTCCAGTGAAGGTTCAGCTTCCCATTGAAGACATTCACTGATGGGGCTGTCACCATTTGTTCGGGTAAGGCGTTCCAGTCATTGACTACTCGATGAGAAAAATGGGACCCCTCTTCAAGTTTATTAGATCACAGTCTGTGAACCTTCTTGCTATGACCTCACCTCACGTCCTACGACACGACAAGGAGTAAAGGTTTATTCGTTTTAAACGCTCATCGTAAGGGAATTTAGAAAGACCGTCCACAGATTTCGTTCCCACACGCTGGACAGCCCAAGTGAGTTAATATACTTTACCAGACATGAGCTAGCTGCTTGGACACAGTACTCTAAATGTGGTCTTACATATATGGTATATAAAATTTCAAACGTTTCCTCGTCAAAAGATTTGAACGCTCGGCGAAGTGACCACGAAAACCTTTGACAGCGGCTGAGTTGCAATGCGTAGTTGTTTTCAAGCTATGACTCATTATTACTCCTAAGTCTTGATGTTCTTGAATGCATGGAAGAGATTTACCAATAATAGTATAATGGCAACTATTACCGTGACCGAAGTGCATTAGCACACTCGTCATAGAATTGATTTCTAAGCCCTAACCTCGAGTCCATTTAACTAAATCGTATTATCAGTGCTTCGAAACCCTTATTAAATAGAAAGCGAAAAAGGCGAATTAGTTATCTTGTTGACGTAGTCATCCTTAATACATATTAGATATTGTAATTAAACAGTTTGTTTAAACGCATCACTCCGAAGGCGAAAGTCAATCGTGAATGTTTAGATTAAACGTACTAGTTATCGACTATGCTTGCTCATGAGTTAATATGCGCTCAAATAGAGCCATCTTTCCGCATTTTTGAGAGATTCAAAAGTTGGGAAAAAGAATCTAAAGTAATTTATATTTCTTTCAATATACTGCAACAGGTAAACAGCCTTACTGATAATACTACGGTCTGTTGTGAGCTAATTGAAGCTAATGCTAGTTTGCAGCATGAATTGTTCAAAATTTTAAGGTTGTTCGTGACACAAGGTTAGCTCATTTTTCCTGTAGTGTAACTAGTGACCAATATTTCTTGGTGCTCTATCCAACTTATGTTTGATTTTTATGCTCTCCCTGATAATATTTCATGAAGCCAATGTAAGACGCGTTGTACCTGGATAATCTGTATAAATGATACAGATTAAGGGTTCATAGAACTCTTAAGTTTGATAATTACTGATACAGGTGCTAATCAGATGTTCTAAGACCAGCCAAACATTTGAATCTCTATGACATTATATATTATAACTTTTAATTCAGATTTATGTAGTAAGGACAGAAGGCTTACGGCCTATGCTATTCCTTTTCTAGTTTGCTTCTGTGAGTGTCCAGTCTTCTCTTGAAAGAGTCAATTGAAGGTGCGGACACCACTGCTTCAGGCAGCAGGTTCCAAGTATTGATGACTCGGTGTGAAAACATGTATGCCACGGGTATTTTGTTCGTTCTTGGCTTTTCTACTCGCCTGCTATGTCCTCTGAGGTGTCCGGATCTAGTGGGAAGAAAGAGAGAGAATAAGTTAGGTCCGAAACCATTTCTCAGTATTCTGTACATCAATATTAGATCTCCCCTTAGTCTGCGATTGGACAGAGTAAAGAGGTTCAGTTTTTCAAGCCGATCTTTATATGATAAACCCCGGAGTTCCGGAATTGCACGCGTAGCTGCCCTCTGTACCTTTTCTAGTATGTCTGAGTCACCTTTTAAACAGGGGCTTGCAGCCTGAACACAGTTCTCTAACTTAGTTCTCACTAAGGATGTGTATAATGTGGTGAACATGGTAGTATCAAAATTAGTGAATGTCTTTTTTAAAGCCCAGAGGGTTCGAAACTCCTTAACTGCGACCTCCCGGCAATGGGCCGTCGTCTTAAGATGATTGCTCACTGTCACCCCTAGGTCCTTATGAGACCGGACTACGGGTAATGACACATCCTCTATGTTGTACGTATTAACCTTTGAATCCCCCATGTGCATGTAGACACACTTTTCCGAGTTGACAGGCATCAGCCACTTTTTAGACCAGTTTATCATATTATGCGTCTTTGTCTCCAGTTATTACTCGCCAGATTTTTACATCGTCAGCGTATAATAACATTGGAGACTGTATTATACTTGTAAGATCATTAACGTACATTATAAAAAGTAAAGGACCTAAGACGGAACCTTGGGGTACTCCACTAAGTACTGGTCTCCAGATGGAGCACTTGGAATTTATTCTTAATTTTTGCTTACGACCTACTAGGAAATCCTTAATCCATTTTAAAAGAGGTCCGGCAATACCAAGGTTTGCCAACTTCAATAGCAGCCTATTAGTTGGTACCTTGTCAAAAGCCTTACTGAAGTCTATGTAGACAACATCCACTGAGTTTCCGTTGTCTAGCGCATTAATCCAGAGCTCCCTAGCTATAAGAAGGTTCGTTGTACAGGATAGACCCTTTCTAAAACCATGTTGTGCCATGTTCAGCAAGTTATTGGTTTCCATAAATGCCGTTATGGTCCGTTTGATTATTCTTTCCAGTATTTTAATTACAACACTGGTAAGGCTTACGGGTCTGTAATTCGATGAAACTTGTCGCGGACCTGTTTTATGTATGGGAGTGACGATTGCGTCCTTCCAGTCCATAGGTAACACACCTTGGTCAAGTGACATTTTGAATATCACAGTTAGTGGGGCTGCGATATATTGGGCAATATGTCTCAAGATTTTAGGGTGTAGTTCATCTGGTCCTGTTGACTTCTCCATGTTTAGGGTGCTAAGAGCCTTAAGCACATCGTTTTGGTCGAAGTCCACGGTGAGCAGCTGGTTTGTTGACTCTGTAATTGGGTCTGGTTCTTTCTCTAGAGGAGGTTCCTGAGTGAAAACTGCTTCAAAGTAGTCAGCCATAACCTCAGCTTTTTCCTGATCTTCCTCTATCATTTTAGATTCACTTCCTACTTTAATTAGGTTGGGAATCTAATGATGAATCCTTGTTCCGTAGTTTATGTACGAGAATATCCTCTTGGGCTGCTTGAGTGCAGATTGTGCCAGCTGCATTTCATATTTTTTTTGCGCTTCCCGAATTTTAGTTATACACTCGTTTCTTATCGATCTGTAGCGTTCCATCGTACCTGCTGTGCCAAGGCAGATGGCAACATCCCAGCATTTCTTTTTTTGTCTCAGTAAGCGTCGAATATCCCGACCTATCCAGGGATGTCCGTGCTTCTTTTTCTTTGGGACAGTCCAGGGTATGTATGGTTGAGTTACCCGATTGTATAACTGCCTGAATAGAGTCCATGCCTCTTGTACTGATGCCTTTGAGTCAATTTCCCAGTTCTCAGCCGATGCTTCGGAATTAATTGCCTGCATATCTGCCTTCCATATGTTAGGACGGGCCGGAACAATTGTTTGACAAGCAACCTCAGCCATGAATTTGAATAAGATGACTGCATGGTCACTTCTCCCAAGTGGTGGGAGAAAAGCCGTTTGACCAACGTCATCACCGTGCGTGAAGACTAAATCTAAAAGAGAAGAAGAGTTTCTGAAGTCGTATCTTGTGGGATCTCTAATGTGTTGGAATAATGCTAGTCTAATCAAGGTTTCTAACAGTTTGGAGTCGAACGACGATATGGACCCTACTTCTAAGTTAACCCAGTTTATATATGGTGCATTAAAGTCGCCTACTACAAGGCTTTTACCGTTGTTACACCAGGACTTAAGTTTACTTAGGAGAAAATCATCTGCTACACTTTCTGGACTGCGATAAACTACAACTTCTTCAATATCTTGCCTTCGGCATTTCAACTTACATCTCACCAGTTCACATGTCCCTGAAATATGTGCTAATGTCTCAGCTAATCTTATGGTTAGGATACTTTTCGTGTACACAATAACCCCGCCTCCCCTTCGGTTTAATCTATCAGCCCTACTGGTTATGAAACCAGTCAACTGGATTTCACTATCTAATACTTCTGACGTTAACCAAGTTTCCGAGACAGCGATAACGTCCGGTTTTTCTTTATCCACCACTGACTTCAGCTCCGCCATTTTATTTAGTAGGCTGCGAGCATTTGTGTAGCACACTTTTAAGTCTATGGAGAGCTTTCCCTTGCCACCCAGAGTGGCTTGGGGATCGTTTTGCTCCGAACACACATTGGATAGTATGTTGAAGTTCATTGAAAGTTTCTGGCACATTACTGTGAACTTAACACTATTTGTGCAAGGCGATTTCCTATCATTAATGCTGCGACTTTAGTGAAGTATTTAGGTTTTCAGAAACTAATCTAAAACATCAGCAAATACAACTGGATTCCCATGATTAAGATGCTCTGAAGTGTGTTCTAGCAACATAAATAAACATTTCTAAACCCAGTTTACAGGTCAATATCTTCGTATATTTCAACGAGATCCCCTTTAACTTCCAAATCACACATTCATTAGCCTGGTCACTTATTCATCTGAATCCTGAACTGTTTTTAAGCCATTTCAATACGATTTGATTTTGAAAAGAACAATACGCTGGATAGAATGAGTTAATTTTAGCAATGCGCACCTTTCACTTCATCCAGATTTTGTCCGAATGCGTCAATAAATGGAGCTTTAGGCGCGTTTTGAGGTAAGAAGTTCCACTAGTTGATGACTCGGTAGTTCTATGACAGGTAGTTTGTTTTGGGTTTGAAAACGTTTTGGGAGTGCCCTCAATAATTCTTTATTTTAAAACAGAAGAAAAATGAGCGCAAGACACAAAAGCTGGTATTAGTGAATCCGAAATTTGTGATGAAATTACCTCTAGTTTTTCTATATGATAAGTAGAATGGTTTAAAATTAGGTAGTCTCTGGTTGTATACCAGCTTTATGTTTCCGGGACTCAGTTTAGTTGAGCTTCTTTGAGCTACTCTTCAGCTTACTGTTTTCCGTTTTGGTGGGGACTGGGTTTTAAAATTTAACTAACAATGGCGACTTAGTCAGTATACTTAGACAAAGGTTAGCTCAAAACGATTCAGTCTACATGTACTGAGATGGGAAACTACATTATTAAAACTATTGGCTACTAGTTGTGGAAATTTTCACAAATCAAATGATTATCTTGGGAATGCTTATTATGGCGCACATGATGATAAGTAATACATTATTGGCTTTATTCTTATGTCCCCTTCCTTAATGTTCGTCAATAATCTGATTCTAGGCAGCTTTGCTAGTCAAACTTTATAACACGTATGGTTGGAAGAATAAGGTTTTCTCATCGACTTGTCATTTGGTTTAATGGGTGTTGAGTAGCAAACAGATTAACGACGGAAACCAGTGGGTAAAATAATGGTATTATAGGTGCAATCAGGTAAAATGAGATAAGTATATACTGAGAGATAGCTACGACAGGTGAGTGAATAATTTCAACAAAATTCTGGATATAGTAAGTCTAATCGAAGCTATTCAAAAGAGATCTGGCTGTTTTTAGCAATATTTATTAGGTACCAAAACTTGGTTTATCGTTAGTTTTTCTAAAGAAGCAACTAAAATAACAATCTTAATATATTCATAGTGATTGGGCAAAGTATCTCATCAAATAATCTTACATCAATATATATTTATTTTAAAATGTTTAGGTAGCCTTTGTACAGAAAGTAACAAAGTATTTCCTGAAGCCTTTGTTGAGGAAACAATTAAAAAGTCTTATCGGTCACCGGTAATGATTTCAGAAAATAACTTCCGTCAAAATCAGAGGGACTTACATTCATGTACCAATATACATCCGACGGCAAAAGATTATCGTGATAATTTGGATTATTCGAAAAGCTTACCAAGTTTAGAAAATGAGATTTTAGAACGGTGAGTTATCTTAATATATTTAAATAGTTTAATTTGTGTACAAATTTTGTTCGATTATTCCCTCTTATCATTTTTGAGACAACTATACATATCTTTCAACTAATTTACTCTGCATTTAATAGTATGATTAAATTCTTTGTTTTGTGACGAAATGTAAAGCTTAATACAAAGTCAAATTCAATGTGATAGATTAACCAATCAACTAAAAGCTCAAAGTATGGAATTTATTCAACCTAATATAGAAAATAAATCAATTTACTCTACTCAAAAGCGACCCAGAGCTATGGTAGATGCTGAAAGCATAGTGGCTTCTCCTGTATCGGAATACGATCTTAATAAACAAGTAAATGAACGATGGTAAGACAAACTTTGTTCTATTCTTTACGAATATGCTCTAAGAAGTTCAACATACATATTTTGCGTTTTAATTAAGGTGGTTTACTAATTGTAATCATGACAAGTAGGAAAACTAAACGTCTGAGATTATTTTTGTGACAAGAGGTGGACCACGCTAGTTATAAAAACGCTTTTTCTTCAGCTGGAAATTGCAGTTACAGCGTGTAAACTAGCCACTTAAAAAGTATAAGAATACATGCCATAATGGAAGATGAACTCATGGTATTGGTGTCATCGGTCGTGTTGTGGTATTTAATTTGGCTATAGGAAATGTTCCAAAAATCTTATTTGTCAGTAACAAATGATCGTTTGAATGATACAAGAAGACATGAGGTGAATTAAGCGTACAGTTGAATTATGAAATAGCTCTCAAAATGAGCACTCCTATGTTCTGAAATCGACATTTTAGATCATCATATTTAACATTGTCTCTTCAAAATACTATTTTTGTCAGTAGATCAATGAGAATGCTTGCCGCTTATCATTTCAAGTACTTACGTTTTGCATTCTCAGTGGGTTACTTTTTTTATTGTCTATATTGTCCGGTTTATTTTGTCAGAGTATTTTTACAGCTGAATATCACAAATCTTAAAGATTATTTTGTAACGATACTTTTTCAGTCTGGAAGATTTTGTTTGTAATTTGAATAATTATAAACAAAACAAATACGAATGATCGATAGATTACAAACAAGCAATAAAATCTACTGTAAGATCTATCCGCAAAATGGAGGGATAAAAGCATGTTAACAGTAGACGTTAGATAAAACTGATACATAATTTAAGCAGCAAATTTAAACCTATTTTATTAGCTATCAGTTGTATGGCTATAGTTAATCAATTATAAATAGTGTAGGTCTTAGCACAGGCATATCATCTGGACAGGTTCCCTTAAATTTCGCATTGACACAATGGTGAGGATGAAATAATCGACAGGATAACAGCATCATTAATACTGTAAAGCTAAACGTAGAGAATACAGTTTTTAAAAATAATGATACAGAGAATAACATCGACTTAAAAGTTTATATATCATCACCACCACTGTGTTATGTTTTTGAAGCATTAAATTAAATCCGAAAGTAGTAAAATAAAGTAAAATTTATATTAGTAAGATTTTTCATCTAATGATATCTTTTACCTATTTATTAAGACACTGAAGTAAAAAAATATTGTTTAGGCTTATTTGATGGTGATTTGAAATTTAATTCAGTTATTGTTTAATGTCTTTATACCAATAGATTTCAGCAAAGTTATCTACTATCTGATGCATCAAATATCAATCCAGATGAATAAGTACATACCAATCTAGCAGCAAATATACTGATAATAAACACTTAATGTGTATCTACCTCTGCATTATCCACTTTTCCGACAATATTAAAGTTGAAATAATAACGTTAGCATAAAAATTCTTCATTTTTCGAATGTTTTATCTTTATATGCATATATCAGTTATCTTTTACAAAAACTGATTTTATGGTATTCTTATTTTAAAAATGCCTTTTTTCTAGCAAAAAGTAACTATTAAAAGATAACTTATTAAAGCATTTACGTTTAAGGTAGTCATTTAGTAAAGAAACTACTCTTAGATTAGATACGTATTATGAATATTCAGTACACACTTATGTATTCTTATATAATATCATCATAATACGTACATGTTTACAAAATAATTTCTCACATAAATAAAAGATTTTCAAATTTCAATTTGAAAATTTTAGTGATGATGATATTTATCCTCAGGAAAGTGATAATTCTTTCATTTCTAATGATCATCTGGTGAAATTTGTTGAAGATAAAAATGTTACAAGTCATCTTCAAAGTTGGCTTTCTCCTTTGGTTAGCCGATATAATGATCTATTCACGAATTTACGAGTGTCGTGTATGGATCATCTACAATCATTAGGTCAATCTGATTGTGCAAGGAATCAACGCTTGATTTTTCACGCGGTTCAAGTAAGTTATCACTGGCTAAATAAGAAAGTTATAAATTTCATCACGTCAATCGTTTACTATCTTTATATTACATCTATTAAACCATTAAATACTACAAACTTATCAGTTTTGCTTTTTCATAAGCTTGTCTTATCTCACAAAATATGTACTAAGAATTATTTGTCATCAATTGATAAAATTTCAAGCTTCAAGTTCAATTTTAAATTAACGTGTAATAAAATCTATTATATAAGTTCATAAAACATACTGGGATTGGAGTTTGTGGAAATCACTGAATTTTCATTTATATATGTATTATAGACCACATCACTCGCCGACCATGGTTACACGACTTTTGTAGATTAGGGGACACTTGACAGCTGTTTTTTTCCTAGTATTGTGCTTCTTAGAAGCGCAAATACAGCTTCTTTGCCAATCAAATCCACGGCATTCAGTTCACATGACGAACACTTCATATTTAAACTTATGAGCTGACGTTGATTGTTTTACATGTATAATTTGAATCAATCCTCGAGATTATCTTACCATCTCCTATCGACTTCGGCGAACAACTGCCTTACACCTGAATTCACTGAAATCCACTGGTTACAGCTTCTCATCGCAACTACAAGAGTTATGTGTCAAAATAATCAACTAGCAAGCAAACGGTTATTGTGAATATAAGGGGTTTGCTAAGATCGTTGAGGCCTCATAGTTCTGCATTTTATCCTCGGTTTGTTAATAACCATGTACTGCTGAAAATTTCCAACTAGGACTAAACGGCTATCTAGGGTTTTCTGGTGTTCAGTTATTGTTTAATTTATATCGGTCTGTGAAGTAAATTTTAAAACATTAGTGGAAAAACTGGTTCTCCCCTACCTCAATCTGAGATGTTATTAGAAATCAAAATAGGTAAAGTTACTTGTAAGAAACTCTACGAAAATATCATAAACGTCTTAATATAAACAAGTGCCGACAGAAACATTGTATCATATTCTGATATTTCTGACTTATGTCAGCGAAATGCCAGAAAATTATTAGTTCAAATGTTTTACTTGATGTGTTATACAAAAAGTCATTTTGTCATAAGAAAACAGATCTCTCGTTTTTGAAGTTTGATTATTACATGTCCTTTTATAACTCTTGTTCTGAATTTCCCACTATTGCTTGGAAAATTTCATAGTTTCAACGGTATGTCTTCCAATTTAATATTTCTTTGATAAATGGTTGTATTTAGAGTTCACAAACAAGTAAACTCACTGGCAATTTTTGCTCATTTAGTAATAAATAAATCTTTTGAATTATGTGTCGATGTTGTGTAGGCAGACAATGAGATTTCCATGAATCAATGTTCTTAAAAAGATTAAATGATCAATAACCATAATGGTTTAGTCATTGAATAAATCACTTGAAAGTCATTCTAATTGATTACTAAGTACATTTTTTAAATGTAGTTTGGTAATAACCTGACGAGTACTCAATTTTTGTAACAAGCGTAAACGATTCGTGCTTATTTTATTCCCAAAGCTAGATGAATTCTTCAGAAGTTGTTCGTTAAGAGTGGAAAACATTTATGTTATCTATTTCAAAGTTTTACACCATTAAACCAAGTAACGTCAATGTAACTTCATATGGTAGTGAAAGATGTACTGTATTGTATTATATTTCTTTGAGTTCTTAACGAAGAAGCTATCTACGTTTTTCACTAAAATGACACCGTACATAAAAATTAAATGAAATAAATGTATCTATTGATGAATTAAAGAAGCCTATCTAAAGTAAGGTGAACATAAAATTCTCTATCTCTGTATGTTTATCTGATTATGCTAATCGATGTGTATACCTTAGATGGTATTATTGGAGCTGTCTCGTTTATTACAAAATACTAGATTGGTGAAGAAAAAATCAATAAAATATTCCACATTTAATTTATATACTGGAATCTTTTGAGTGACTGGAAAGTTACTGATTCACAAAAACTGAATTTCGATTATATAACGATATAACAGTTGAATTGAAGTTTATGGGCGTGGAATACAGATGGTATTTAGATTTGTCCATTTGTAAATTGAGGATAAACATTTGGAGTAATCGAATGATCACACGATGTATTGTTTTTTAATCTAATAGGATCGTTTTGTCTGTCGTAACGTTTTACGTATAATAGATAGTGTAACTAAGATTCACCTTAAAAGAGTTTAGTATAAGACACACCTATCTTTTCTTTAGGCGTTCGCATAGATACGCTAATATTTTGTCATAAAACAAACAAGTTCAGGTAATAATTATTTGATGAAAAAAATAGTTTACAAGAACGTAACGGACCAAATCGATTGAGAATAGGTATTGTGGTATTTCAGTTAGTGATGCTCATATGTCACACATTTCGCATGGGGATATATTATTTTCGGAATAATATTGCCCTAGTGTTTAATCTGACTAAGTGTTTCTAAGGAGTGATTATGTAATACTAACTATTCAATTGCTTCTTAATCCCTTATAGGTTTGAACTTAATATTAATCACTAATAAAATCAGTATGAAAAAATTGGATGCTTTCTGTAACGACCATTAATGTCAAAATTATATTTATTATATGGGAAAGATAAATTACACTCAATCCTTTTTTTCTATGAGACTAATTAGCTGGTAGCAAATGGTTGCTTTGACAACAAAACGGTATGAATGAAATGGTTGTAATTATACCACAAATAAACTTCGAGAGATCTGTATCATGCTCTAGGGCTATTACTATTTAACATTCTTTCTTATATCGAGTCTGGTGAAAGAAACTGGACTAAAATATCAATGTTTACTGAGACATATCTGATGATTAATTATCGTTTAGTTAAAATAATCTAGAATTGTCCTTTTAAAGTGTTATTGCATTAATGTTTTAGTTTTACAACTTAATATAATAGCAATAGGTTTATGGGTTTTTCATTAGTGAATAACAGATTTATATCTGAACTATCAAAGTATATTTTTTAATTATTCGAATTCATCAAAGGTAATATTATTTCATACACTGGTTAGGTAATAAAATTCAACTGAGATTTTTTAATTCACTTAAAATATTATTCAAAACTTTTAATATGTCTCGCATGGTATAACGCTGTTTCTGTAGAGTGATATATTTACACTAAAGTGCAGTTCTGGTAATGAACATGTTTCAATTTTATGGAGTTATGATGTCATTAGTATCGTAATGTCACTAGAATTTAAGCACTCGTATTGTTTTTTAAAACTATCACGACATTTTTATACAAACATAATGAATGTCTTTTAAATGAGGCTTATTACTCGTATATTAAAGTAACATTATTTCGACTAGGAGTCCCTGGTGGCATTATAGCACAAGGAATATGTCGTTACACTAACAATGTTGAAAAACACAAGATTTTGTAGGTGAAACACATAGTGAATACATCTCGTGAAAACTCTACATTAGTAGCTCATATTCTAAACTGGATGGAAAAATTTGGTTTTAAAACCTCAACATTTGATGTTCTACCAGTAGATGGTTTGTAAATGTTGATTCCATTTTGAAGTTTCAAATTAAAAACTTAACCTCTTGCTCGAGTCGGTAATTTACTAGGCTCTTCTTAATTCAAATTCTATTGAGTTTCGTAATCTATGTAATCCGTATATAAATTGTCATATTATTGCAAAACTCTTCATCGATCGTCGTCTATGGACACTGATATCAACTATAAAACTATTTTTAATAATTTTGTTATTTACGTTTAGGCCGGCTTCACTGTCACCAGCCATGTGATCCATCGTCTTCCCAGTTACACCCAAAAAGAAAATTATGTGTCAAGGAATGTTGGTGAGCGACAATTCTCCGCATCAGACATATCGCTCAATGCTGATCAATTAGATAAACTTGTAGCCGCAACATTCAGGCGTCTTTCACGTCACGCTCCACCAGAATGCGCATGTCATACTTCAATTACTTCGATGAGTGGGACAAATATTAAACGGCCTATTTCCATAAGACGACCTGTGACATCTCAGGAACTGACTGCTTTAGATAACCTTCTAAAGGAAGTTTGTTGTCTGGCTTGGCACCTACTGGCTGGAAAAAAGAGTCCACAACTAGATATTGAATCAGATGGAGTTCAATCTACTTGGTATGCAGATGTGGATAGAGCTGCAAAACCTGGTGATCCATACAATGACAAATGGTACGCAGTCTGTTTATATTGTTTTAGTGAGCAGTCATACAACAAGAATCGTAATATATTTATCAATTAATTCAAAATTTATGTTTTGTTTTCACCATATTATTTTCAAGTTATCGAAGAAGCTATGATTCAGACCCATCTGCTGGTCAAGTTCACCATTACATTTGGCCATGTTTAATTTTATATAATCAAAGGCCTACTGAAATTCAACAGCGATTTCAATCAACAAAAATGGATAAGACTAATAGATGTAAATCGGTTAAAGCATGTATTTTGGTGAAGGGAGAAGCATGTACACGTAATCCAATATATGCAGCATCGCAAAAAGATAAAGCTGCTGCTTTATTAAATCATGAATATTCTTGTCAGAATGTGTGTAGATGCACGTCACCGCAGAAATATGGCAGATCAAGATCAGCATCAATTCGGAGAGTCTAGCAAATATTGCTTTGCTTTTAGGTAATGTTTTTTATCGTCCTCAGCTTTCAATAGTCTCTTAGTTTCGTCGGTTTTTCCAACGAATAGTAAATGTATTACATAATGTTTAATTTCAGAAACGTTCAGTAGCTAGTCTGTCATACTATCATATTTTTAATTAGAATTATAGTTTATGCAGCGTGAATTCGCCAATTTAGTTTACAAAAAAATTTGTCCATTTTTCTGACAAAAAGGCAATAACATACAATAGGTAATCACCGTTATGAGTTGTCACTATATTTTAATATTAGATTGCTAGAATAAGTCTACAGGAAACTCTGGGTATAGGTTTCGCGATAGTTGACACACGTCAGAAGGGGACGTCTGGGATCATGAGGGAACTGGCGATCTCCCTACGATTCAGACGCGCTTCATTAAGCTTTAGAATTTTGAACGTTACTACTGAGCCACTCCGGTAATGACATGCATCCTCTAATACTGAGATACTAACATGTTAACTAATATCATGTTTATCTACTTCAATTTTTTTGTTCTTAATACGTTCATAATCAATGCTCTAACGATTAAGCTAATAAGGTATTTAATTTAATTTTGTAAACAGTAATTATTTGTATTTTGTAAGTTCAAAAGGATTTATTCATAACCATAGTTTGCCTACCATATTATACTGAAAAAACCATCTACGGATTGTATTTTGCTTCTTATTTGTACATAATACTGGTTCTCAGTTAGTTATAACATGTTTTTCTGTTGATGAATTTTGAGAACATTCAACCTTATGTTCTATAAAAAATATACGTTTAAAACATGCATATTGTATAATTGAGTTTCTTTTTTTACAGGCGATTTAACTGAGTAGTTCCATACTGAATAAATCACAAAAGTCAACTCATTATTAGTACAGTTTACTTGTTTATAGAAACTAATCATTAAATCATTAACATCAAAAGTTGAACCACTAGAATAGTTAGAAGTATTTAATTTTATCTTAGATACTAGAGAACAAGATCCGAAATAAATAAGAAATGAAAACAGAACAAACAATTCCACTTTCCTATACGTGGTAAGTGATTGACTCCTCAGAAGTGCTCATCCACGGCCCCAACCTGCGGGACTCGAACGCAGGACTTATCAGTTTTGCTCGCGAGCGCTTAACCACTAGACTACTGAGCCGGAATCGAACGATGTTAATGTTTAGCTTCAAATTATCGACGAAATTAAGCGACACATCCATCATCGTTATCAGTGAGTTACTATCTCACAACAGACTCCACTGGTCACTGCTTCTCACTAGAACTCCATGAAATACCTCTTGAAGCTAGTCACTAGTGAGCATATGTTGATTAATATCAAAAGAGGTTTTGTGAATATTATAATAATTTCAATGGTTGAATTTATGAATCAATTAAAGCTAGGCCACCGTGGAAAACCTGGAAGTATATAATTATCTTTAAGATTTTGAACAAAATATATTAATTAAAATGAAAGATTAAATATTATAAGATATAATGAAAATAATTTAAAAACACTAGTAAATAATAGACTAGAATCGAGTTGTATATTTAATAGAAAGTTGTTTCACTGATTGAAATCATGAGACAATTGAAGCTAGACCACCATGGAAAACCTAGAATCACTGGAAGGCCGTTTAGTCCTAGTTTTGTACTCTTCAGCAGTGCACATCCACGATCCCGCACCCCACGAGATTGGAACCCGAAACCTATCGGTCTCGCACCAGGAGCTTAACCAACTAGACCACTGAGCCGGCATCCAACAATGTTATTGTCTAACTTCAACCAATGCAGGAAGTTGCGCCTTCATACACCATTGTCTTCAGTGAGTTGATATCTCACAACAGACCTGGTTGAACTCCACTGGTCACTGCTTCTCACTAGAACTCCAGGAATATCTCTTGAAGTCAGTCACTAGTGAGCAGATGACGAAACGGCCGTCCAGTGCTTCCAGGTTTTCCATGGTGATCTAGCTTCAATTGACTCATGATTTCAATCAGTGAAATTTCTGAAAACTCCACAAAACCCCTTCTGAGAAAGTTGTTTGTTTGTTTTTTAAATTATTATTTTAAGTAAAAAAATTTCATTATTTCTATGGTTGACAATTAAATTTCATGTGTTATTTAATTTTCCTATTGACTAATTATATATTTTTCACAAAAGAAAACGAATAATTAATTGATTCATATTAAATAAATAAATTTATACTTTAATATTATTTATCATGTGAACTATTCATTTCAAAGTGTTTGATTAATCACGTTTCTATTTTTATAATAAAAATATAAATGAAGTACTTTATTATTTATCAAATCATTGACTTATATCTAATCAACAATTGTTTCTATATAAACGTTTACATTAGAGAAAAAGTTATCATTATTTTTTTTTGAAGAAACTATTAAGTCCATATATTTATGCACTTTAAAGCTTTTTTCTCTATTGTTTTTCTTTTTTTCTTGTTTCTTTTTCTTTACTGTCTAAATCTGATTTAAATCAACTATAATTTATTCTTTTACAAATAGTAATGAGTAATTAAATGAACTAATTATTGCATTAATATTTGATAAATCATATGAAGTATATTTGTTAAAGATCATCTGTGATCTGAATATTTTAGAGTTAATTTATATTGACTGTAATAATTAGTGATATTTATTTGAATCTTATGAAAAGTAATAGTTTCTAAAATATTGTAGATATACGTTGTGTTGATGTGAGTGTAAACAAGTATGACATTTAAGTTTTTTAAAAAAACTTCTTGCTAGATCGTTTTAATCATCAAATATTATGCAAATAATTATACTTATTTCCTTTGGATATTTATTCAAAAGTATTTGAGAATAGTTGAAAATAGACATATGTTAAAAGCTTTGAATAGAATTAACTGTAAATCACAATGAAGAGGCTTAGATAGGATTATCGATTTTCTGCACTAATTCATTGCTCACTAAAATGTCATACATTTTTTCCTTCATTTATGATTCAATCATAACTATGTACAGTTGTAATATCTATTTAGTTAGAATGATAAGTTACTATTCATGAACACAAAATTAAACTTACATTTATAATTTTTTTAATATTTTAACTCCTTAGTATTTATTAAAAAGTTCTATCGTTCCGAATGTATTACATGAGATGAGAGTTCGCTGTTACTTGTGATAACCTAATTGATGCAAACTGAAAACCTAAACAATTAAAAAACAATCTGATATATATTTTCTGAAGTGATTATATATATATATATATATCGAATAGAATAGTTATCAGTGAAATACGTACTCTTAATCTTTACATTTTATGACATGTTGACATGTTTATGAACCATGTGATGATGAGCACCAAACAAAAGTTCAATGAAACCGACTTGAATTCGAAAGATTCATTTTATTTGGAGTCGTATTGTGTTGATAAGAATGGAAATCTTTTTCATTCCGTCTTTACCTAGTTATGCAGATGCAATGAAGTACACTCATGACACATAAAAAATTAAAATGTGTTTTGTCTATGGCATCAGCTTTTTAAGTTTATGGGACATAACACAGAATGCCGTCGTTATAGTAAGTGCGCGGATTCACATAGTTTTTTTAACAGGTTTTTTTTCCATATATAAATTAGGTGGTATTCTTCAAAGATGTAAGATTAATTTAGTTTGGATAAGAAATTTATGTTTTACCCAAATAAATAGAAGTTTAACGTCGAATAAAAAATTGATTTGGCATTTTAATGTGAATATTAGTGGTTCTAGTTTGGGCAACTTTTGACAACAATCTTATGCAAAACATTGTTCTAAAGTAATATTGAATTAATAATTAGTTGCTTACATTTTCCATCCAGATAGCTCGATTGACATTGAGGTAAAATGATGTATCTGATCAGTTAGTTTGTTGGAATTCCATTAATTACATACACACCTCTTACTCATAGGCCAGTTAGATATCACACTGAATTGCATTCTAAATGTGAATTGCAATTGAGCATTGTAGCTCACTATGAAAAGCTTAGAGTGATTTCAAATCATTCCTAAACTATGAGTTTCATTTATTAACAATCATTCTTTCGGCCTAAAAAGTTTGGAATGGTAGGCGTTTCCAAATGGTTCGGAATTTCGATAAAAAGTGCAAAGAATTCATATAAGTAGCCGATTTCAAGTAGACTTGGATATTTATGACTATATAAGTAAATTTCCAGGAAACCACTTTTATAAACATAATTGAGATGCTGTATAGTGTAGATTAACAATAAGCGACTTTTGAAACTGCTAAAGTAAGCTTTTCATTATCTTTTAAAGCGAATGGTTTTCATGAATAAACATGGTACGATTAGACTAGTAAATTAACGAGTGATCAATCAAATTTTGTAGTGTATTAAATATTTCCTAAAACCACTCCACATTTTTAACTTAAGTTTTCAAAGATGGTTCACACACAGTATCCCTAAATATTATTTGTTTTTCCAACTTTAAAAACCATACTTCACATTGATACTTAATTCGTGTATACGCATGTTGATTTTTTGTGTCGTCGATGTAAACCTTCTAGCTTGGTTATGAACTTGGATGACTTGTTCAACAATTATATTCTTACAATTGTTTCTCTGTGACCTATTTTTTCTCCACCCTCCTAACAGTCATCGTTCTGTTGGGTAGTCATTACTGTTAAGCTCTGCTTCAATATGAGTTGGTAATGAAATCCGATTGGCTAAAAATGGATTAGATTTTAAAACTAAGCAGTCTCAATAAATATATTAAATTATTGCCTTCAGTTCAGATACATTTGGTGATGAATGATAAGAATTCTGTTGTCATATGGCCGGCCAAATATCACGTTACAAAATCGCTAACCAAAGTACCAACTTCTATGTAATTGTCCCTGTGCTAAACCAATGATACGTTAAGCATCATGAGCAGCCTTGAGTCAACTGTGAGTCCTTATTGATCTTCTGTACGATAGCTTTACACCTGACCCAGCCTGTTCAGTCTAGAACACAAATATCAGCCACCGCTATATGAATCATATATTTCAAACATACGTAGTCTATGTACAAACAGTGTAAACCATAACGCGTCATAAAATGAAAAAATAATTATCATGCAAGATCAGGCCAAAAGTGGCTGTCAGTATGGAATACTGTCGTTAATAAATTGAGAATAAATTTTATATATATATATAATAGTTTATAAATAAATCCTGGAAGTTACCGCTCGTTTATTTCTTCATTCAGACATAACAAATTCAAGTACATGAAATAAGGTTGTCCATAATCCTAGTTGACATAATCATTTAATGATCTCGTTCATTACTGGGTTTATTAAGTTTTAATTACAAAGAAATTTTATTGAGAAACAAATAAATTAAGATCTTAAACTTTAAATAAAACAACATTCAAATTCCCAATAGAGTTTGTAGACTAATAATTGCCACAGGGTGTTTTTTTCAGATCTTGCTTACCTTACACCACTATATAAAGATAAACTATCTTTATAATAAGGTCATGTTTTTAAGATGAATTATATCTCAATATAGGATAAACTGCATAAAAATAAAAGATGTTTGCCTAAGGTAAATTAGTTACTGAAGGGCATGTTATAAACATATTTACAAAATTTTGTTCAACAATTTGTTTAGTTTCATAATGATTCTATTTAGTGATAAATAAAAATTTGCACTGGATCAATTAATATCATAATTTCATTATCTGTTTAAAAGCATTCATAGTAAATATTAATGCTAGTCATAAATAATAATAAAGTGTTACCTGGTTACAACCGTTTTATTATTAATAATTAGCAAATAATAACTTATGTCTATATATTTTCTCTTAATACAAAACGTGTATGATGATTTTATAGGGATTCATGTATCTAAACGAATTATAATCAATAATTATTGATTATCAATAGAGTTACTAATCAGAAATGAATTACTAAAAAAAAACGATTTAAAATATAATTACAAAGTAAATGTAATTGATTCATTATTAGTTAAACAATTTCCACATAGAATATAAAAATTCTTATATCTTTCTTGTTTCATTTGTTTGTTTGTTTTTTAATCACTATGAACAATATCGATTAATTTGACTGTATTCATTTCTAGATTCACTTGAGAATTAAAAGCAAAAAAAAATAAATTTCTATCATTTTTTATTCAATATACCGTACCTTATCTAATTTAATATGCATGTCAATTTAAAAAAAGAAACTAAAGTAGGTATAACGTTAAAGTGGAATAAAAAATTACTTTTTATTAACTTTTAACTTATTTATTATTCGTTAGTAGAAATATTATTAGACATTTATTAAAGTTTATTTTAGTAAAAATTAGTAGTTGCCTAGAATTTTCTAGAATTTTCCGCCCATTTCTATTTGTTTATTTATTTACTGTAAATTTTATACATGGTACACGTTGGTATTGTGATTTGAAAAAATTGATAAGCATTAGTGATTCGTTTATTCGTTTAAAGATTTCTATCATATTAAAAGACTAGTATTTAAACAAAAAATAAGTTTAACTCAACAATAAGGGATTATTGGTAGTCTATATGACTTGTAACTTTATCTAGAAAACTGATGATATGGCGAGCAATGCTTAAATTTATTGAAGTTTGAATGACAGATGAAATTGTTTTTCTCAGTAGTGTGTGACAATTTTTCACATTTAAAGAAGGGTTATTGATGCTTAATAGTATAATATGATAAATATAGATTCATACAGTAAGTTAGTTTTGTCAAATATATCTCAATTCAATCTATACAAATTTTACTGTTTATCTAACTGTAAATAAATCATATAAAAAGTGGTGTATTCATAAATCAATTTGATTTATTTTTTGGGATTCATATAAATCCTTATCATCAGTCTTTGGTTTTACACTTTGCAACTTTTCTATTGTGTTCGAATCACCGTTGCAGATTTAGTCTTGAATTATGAGTAGTGACTAAGAAGTCGAATCGAGTATTCAATTATCAGACTTATCACTAATATGAGTACCAGAAAGCACTAGACAACTATTTCATCTCAGTATGATAATACTCATCAGTTCAACAGGTGATCAATTTATTTTAGTGTTCAATGGTTGTCTAGATAAAGTTTCTCCTGAATGTGAGCTAAAGATTGAAATCCTCTACAAAATTCCTAATCAGAAAAGTATGCTTAAGTTTAGAGAATTTACATTTCTAAAAATAGAGGATACGAATTTAAATTTTTCAGTAATAATGGTTTGCATATATTTCGCTGGATGATATAAAATATATATATTTCAATCACTTTGTGGATAATTGGAAAATAAGAAATTCAATTTTGTAGGTAATAAAGGCGGTTGAAAGTAATAATGTAATTACGAATTAGATAAAATATTCATTCAAAGACTACGTAGCATGCAAATTATTATAACTTAGGTAAGAGATAATAACAGTGAAGTGATTACTAAATGAAGAAACAAGATATAAATAATCCTAAACAAAAGAAATTGCTTCAAATCAGTGAAATAAAGAGCGTGATGTATGCATTGGTCAGAATGACCAGAGTATATGTATTTTTAGAAAGTAATGAGTCATGAACTCTAGAAGGGAGGACGCACATTTAGACATTCCTTAACATTGACTTTCCTGTTAGTCAATCTACTTTGTCTTGATCTGTATCAATTATCCCACTTAGCAATGGGTGGCCGCAATTAGTTCTATCTGTGTCCATAGCTTTCTTTAACTTGCAGCCTCCAATAATATACTCCTTTTATAAACACTTAAAATACAAGTGTGTCTTTACAAATACTAAGTTATGTCATAATGTTCAGTTTGTAAACGTAAAACATTTGTTGTTGCCATCTGGTGCACAAAGTAAAACAGACTATATGTATTTCATTTCACCTTCTTTGTCGTATTTACAGAAAGAAACATAGTGTTGACAATTTATTCAGAAAGCTTTGTTTATTCAGTAAAAAAATTCGGAATGGTCTGCATCAATTAATCTTTATAGTTATTCTGTAACAAATCAATTAGCTGTTGAATTTATAACTTTTTATGTCTTTTATGATCATTATTATTATTACTGTAGTAGTATTGACTGTGTTTATAATTTAACAAAACCATGACGAATTTTGTACAAAACAGTTATTTCGCATAGATTTTTAAATAAAATTTCTATTTTATAAGTTTTTTGATTTCTTTTTTGTTCATTGTGTGGAACAAGTTATATTGGCAGGTATTCTAGGAATTTGTATGTTCATGCTCCCGAACATCTTCTAGTGTAGTTAAGTAAAGGTATAGTTAAAACTTTTAATAGCTCCTTTCTAATCCGTTTAATATAAATAGGCCATAGAGTCAACATGGAGCAATCATTTACAATAACATATCGTGTTAACAGCTATCTGCCTAAAACCGTCAGGCTGAGAATCCTCTAAACGTTTGAAGCAACAGCTGTTCAGATCAGAAAGCTAAAGTTTTACATCCGGAAGAAATATATTCAACCCCTTCTTCTGCCTTGGCCAACTTCTGGCCTAATTAGTTAACAATCATTTTGATGAAATGCTGACATAATTTTATAAATGTTCATACAGCCCAATTTATGTTTTTATAGCTTAAACTTATTCATACATGCTATTATTATAGTTATTATTATTATAACTGTTCCAAAGGTTTTGTGAAGTTTATTTTAGGTAACGAATAATTTTGAATTTACATGCTATGATTTTAAACGATTTGTTCGCCTTAGATCTGGTCAATATTTGGACTATTAATTTGGACATATGGTTGTAGGATCTGAAGAAAATTTATTGAAAAGAATATTCTTCGTTCAGATATGTTTTAATATGATGAGAATTTTTGGTTGATTAAAATTGCATACAAGTATCGTAATAATAATATAATAATGTATTCTGAAAATAATAATTACAGAATTCATGCCAGTTTACAGTTATGATCAGCTTGATATAAATTGTAACATTAAATGTAGCAGGCAAACATGTGATATAAGATTGTTTTAAGTTTGCTAGTTCAAAAATTGTTGAGGTACTACATGTATGACATATAATAAAGCAATGTAATGCATCGGCCGTGAACTTTTAATTCTTCTTTAGTGGATATCCTGTTGATTTATGAACAATATATTAAAAGTCATTTCCTGCGCCATCATAAATTAATTATAACCATCTACAATTAGAGAAAGTAAAATAGAAACAGAGAGTACGGAACAACAATGAATTATTTGCCATGGTATGTCTATGAGTTAGGTTTATATTATAAATTTTGTTTGAAGAGATTACATATTCACAGAACAGTAGTGGATATTTGCGACCTAAAAACAAGTTGTAAGGCATTTGGACTAGAAAAATGCATTATATCTTCAGGTTAAAAGCATTTACTAAAATGATATGAAAACAGTATACACTGTGCTATGTATGTACAACTTATAGTAATCACGGTAATTACTACAACTGTCTACTTTTGAATACCAAGAAATGAGTTTATTGAGTATGTTTTACTTCAACTGACTAATACCTAATGGTTTTGTAGGAGAGCATGAATGTAGTCCGTTTATAATAAGAGTAATCATTAAGTTTGATTGAGATGGTATCTATAACCCCTCTCCTAGACTTAGATTTGTTTAAGTTTTTGTCAAGCCCTTCAGCTGACATATTTAACAGACAGAATTATTTGAACAGTAATAATATGTCCATGTCCAAGCATGTTTCTTAATCACATGCTGCGTGTATATATATGTATATATATATTTGGATTTTATTAATTGATTCTACCCTTAATTCGCCACTGTGTTCGTTTGTTCACTCTCATTAGAATTTCTGTTCTACTTCCCTAAAATGTATTTGTGGCTTTGTGATCTGTTCTGTTCATTGGTAAATTGTCATCAGTTTATTTGTGTCGAATCAAAAGGCTCATATCTTCCGAAAGTTGGTTTACACCTTACAACTGAAGTTATTTGGTCACTGTATACGGATATGTACATTCAGGACCATGACTTAAATTAATCTATTTCTTTGGGTCATTCTTGGTTGTGAGCCGTTAAATTGTTATTCGTCAATTATTACGAATACATCTACAATAAATATCTTTCTGTCGGCCAGAATATTAAATCATATCATCTGGGAATAGATTCCTTCCTACCTCAGCCTTTACTTTTATGGTAGAGCAATTACATTGTGATGAAAAGATCTGAAGAAATGCGCTGTATTTTATCTGATGACACTGATTAAAACTATACTGTAGTTGCTCCTTCGACTAAAGGGAGTATCGTCTCTATCCTATCCATTAATTTTATAGATAGTCGACTGTAGTATAAGAGCGAAAATTTCGAATAAAATAACTTAGTAAATTGTAAAAGGCGATGAGCAGAACAAACGTCATCCTTTTACATTCCAATGATCCATTTGTGTCGTAGATCGTTAAATTGTTAGCTACTTTCGTCAACTAAGGCTTTGTTTGTTTATTTTGACTAATTGTACAAGTTGGATTTTTTTCCATATGGTTTATAATTACTGTACATATACATTAATTATTTACGTAAAATAATGTACTCCTTTTTTAATAAAATCCGTATTCAATTACCTTGTATTTTGTTCTCATTACTTTATTTGATTCTGTGCAATAATTACTGGGCGAATATATCAGGGACAGTGCCTACATAGTTGAGGTAGATACGTTTGGTGATATTCAGACCAATAGATGTAACAAATTGTCATTCAAAATAAGGAAATTTCTTTAAAAATGAAATAAGAAGAAACAAAAAATTCTAAATGTATAGTGTACACCACATATACTGACAGATATAACTAGCATATAGCATCAATCGGAGGTGGAGTACCTGTCAATAGAAGGTTGAATTGAAGAGAACGTAAAGAGAAACAGAGAGCAATTGTAATCACAACAGGAATGATTATCGTGCGCTTGATATGCAGCATATGTGCACAACATCTAAGTTAACTGATAAAATGACAGACTATATTCAACACGTTGTTTTTTTATTCTGGTAAACATTTAATTATTCACACCAACCCACTAGCAAGATGAGTTTTACAGACTCTGGCTACTTATACATTATTAAGTAGTACAGATTATAACTTCAAAGAATATTGAAGTAAAAAAATTAAGTGATAAATTATTAAAGAAGTTAGTAAAAAAATCTGAATTAAGCTCCTAATTGCTCAATGGTTTCTACTGAATTTTGAAAATGTAATTCGATTAATCTAATGAAGTGCGATGGAAATCTATGTTAACTATGCTTAATTTATTGAATTTTCATTATTGTCCGAAATTATTACATAAGAAATATGTAAAAGTCTTAATTTTCTTAAATATTATGGCATTCTGTTAATCCTTAGTGGATGCGAAATATTCTGAATTCATGTGGAAATTCATTAGTATATCTTGATTTGAATTCTTTTTCATTTGATTAGCTACTGACTCTCAACAAATCTTTTGTGTTTCGGTGTCTTTTCCCCTGATCATGAAAGTTTTATACGACTTATTTTGTCAATAAAAGGATAATATCTGTTGCGTTCAAAAATTCAATAGCTGTAGATGTCATTCTTGCTCACTAAGCTAATGAGCATACTTAAACAAACAATTCATCCTAACTTTTAAACTTTAAAAAATTATATTCAAATGTTCATGTTTATTTCAGTTTCCTTGGGAAACAAGAAAGTTTTAATCACTTAAGAAGTTTAGTTTAATTTAAAATGCATGTGAGGAATGTTCACAAAACATACATCATCAAATAAGCCTTATTCAAAACATCCCAAAAATCCAATTGCGGTTTGTTCAATTTACCTGAATGTTTATTTCACTTAGACCTGAAAATCATCTCAAATACTATCAATGAACTAAAATACAAGTGTAGAATTTAGGTTACTTATAAACTAATAAAATACACTACTGATTGTCCGACCGTAATTTTGTCCGTTCTGTGGTTAAATGAAAAGCATCAAATAGTTTCCCAAATAATGTTTTCACGTGAAATGTAACTAATTCACTTTATTTACTTACAAAATGGAGAAAAAACATTTGATAAATTTTAAAATCATAGCTGTATAATCTAAACCCACTTATATGAAAATTTAATGATACTAAGGAAATGGCAAGTATAAAAATTGAAAAGTCAAACGGTTTGGCTACCGAAACAATCTCCGTTAATGTTCAGTTCCAAAATCAATTTACTAAAGTTAACAGTTTAAAACAGTAAATTCATATCACAATCTACCATTCTTCAACTCAATAGATGTGAATCAATATAGTCACAATCTGTGTGAAAAACGCTAAAATTACAAGAAGTTTCAATGACAAGTCCTCGGTTTGAAGTTAGTTTTCATCACAGGCTGACATTAGTTCAACAGCATATATGTATAAATGAATTCAGAATACATCTTGTGGCAAAGATCAGTCTAGTAAAAATATTGAAAGTTGGTCAATTATATTACTCAGAAAGAATTCGCTTACTGAATAGATAAGTAATAAAGAAGTTAACACTCCTTTGAATTATAAACGAAGTGTCGAAGCTTAACGAACATCAAACTATAAGTAGTTTTCTACTCAGCTAGAGTTGTAAATTTTCTTGAATAGATCAAGTTCTTATGCTGATGTAACAAGTTAACATATTTGCTTCTGTTTGATGCAGAAATTTCACCATTTAATTCTATCAAAACTATATGTGACGAGTCAACTATTTATACTTTATTCTTTTGGAAAAAATGAATGCAACTTGATCTGAGAGAAAAAAAGATATTCCAAAAGCATTTTATCGTCCACAACACACCATATGAACAAGCCAAATGTGAATGTATTACACGATATTGCAACAATAAAGAGCATGCAATTAAAATATTGTCCTCATGTATAAGTCCAATTTTGTTTTTATAACACTTCAGACAGACATAAATCTATATTTCCCAATATGTCCCTATTTATAAGTTGACCTATTTAAATTTGTATTAGTTAACTATTTTATGTTAGTATAAAACAACTGTCTTCAAGCAGCTGATACAATTTTTATAAAGATTTCTTTGATTATGTTAGCCAGCAATGATCAATATGCGGATTACGTTACAAATTATTAAAGTTTATTAGCATACACTTAAGTTGATTTTAACGCGTTTATAAAAAGTTTAGTCGGCCCAAAACTACAAACGCTATTACTATTT